TTCATAGACTGTGTATTAAAAGTTAAATATATAAAAATTAATGCCACTTTAAGTTGGTCAATAATTGTAATCTATAAATCGTGAAAATGTAACCATTTTTTTTGTAAACATTTTTTTATTATATGCACATTAATAAAACTGGATATATAAGGAGATACATTTATAACACATTTTTCTTTCTTCCGTATTTTATTTGTATTCTTTAAAATTCGCTACGTAAGCGAAGTGTTTTAATATCTCCATTTATTTCTTATTGTTTTATTATATATCCATGTATTTATAATTTGGTCTTATTTTTTTAAGTTTTTCTGAGATCATTAAGTAAATTTGAAACAATTAACTAAATTATCTTTGTTTACAAGACATCATTTAATTGCATTTTTTTACAGTTTTTATTTTTTTTATAAGAAGCAATCAAATTTAAAAAAAAAAAAAATTGTACTCATTTGGTTTTATTTTTTTTTGTCTGAAACAAATATATATCATTTTTTTTGTCTCGTTTTTTTTTATCAAAAAAAAAAATACAACAGATTTTTTTTTACTCTCTTACATATGAAAACTAACTTATCCTTTTCATAAAAATCTTCCTAAAACAAAAAAAAAGAGGAAACGACTATTTATACGATTTAAAAACATTATATAAAAAAAAAAAAAAAAAGGAAAAATCAGTTTTCGTTCAAACATTTATTTCAGCTACTAAACATACTACACCACTTTCATGAACCAGGAAAAATTGTAAACATTTTAAAATGTATATATACGAGAGGAATTTTGTAAAAAAATTATATTCGATGACATCACACCTACACAGGCTGCCAAGGGACGTCAGCCAGAAAGAAGGGGGGTATTTGTTAGGGACGGAATTTCCGTCACTTTATAATTTTTTTTAATCATTATTTATTTATAATCATCTTTCGAATTATTATATTATAAAAACACAACACACATTATTATTCTCATTGTGAATATTTTAATTATTATTTCGAAATCATTTAATAATTATGCCAAAGGTCTTTTCATGTACTTTAGTTATAATGAATTATTAAATTGAAATACGTTACAAAATAATAACATGATCAAAATTCTTATTGTAATCATTTAAATGTGGGTCTTCAATATATGACAGTTACTTAATCCCTTTTGAAGATTAAGTAATATTAAGGAAAATTATAAGTAGAGTAGGTGATTGAATGTATCACTGCCCCAGTTAAAAATGCAACGTTGTTGAAATTGCATGAAAATACGGAGAAGTCAGTTGCAAAATCAACTCTCCTTCTACATGAATCGGGAGTGATCATTGTCACCAAACTCATTGTTTAAGAGAGTTTAAATAGTCGGTCTTTCGGCCAGTAGGGGGCGAATAATCGAATGATCGAATGATCAGTATTCGTTCAAGTGTTCAGTATCATTTCCCGCAAAGGCGGATGTTGTGTTGATTCCCGCAAAAGGCGGATGATTATATTATTGAAGTCCCACAAAAAGTGGTTGAAGTTATTAATTAATCCCCAAGTAAGGGTTGATCTGTGTTAAATAATAATAAATATAAGTGTCTTGAAAATATATAAAAATAAATTGAGAAATTCATTATAACTAAATAAAGAAGAGAAGACTTCCGCATACCTAAATATCAAGTGACAAACAACGAGTAATACGATACTTTTCTGTAACGATTATAATTCTGGTGAGTCTCTTTAAATAATTGTGTTTAATAAAACAGTTTCTTGTGTTTCGAATCTATCTTGTTGATATTTGTGAGACTTGACGTAAGTCAAGTAGCTTAATTATTGAATTTTGTAATAAACCTTTCTTTGCATGTATAAAACAAATACTTTGAGAATAATTTGTAATAAATTGAGTGTTAATTTAATTTGACTCTATTTATTTATTTTTCACATTGAATTACTTTGTCTCATATTTCTTTTAACATTTTCTCTGAAATACCGTCTATCCGGGTTTATTGAATTGATAATTTACTGAGAGGTAGTCCACTACCTTATTCTAAAATTCTTTAGCGAAGAGCATTTACGCTTTCCAAATAAGCGGAATAGTTAAATAATAAAAATTAGTATTTTTCTAAAATATTTATTATTTCTCGTCAAGTTATCTATTTTATTTTTCTTTTGTTAATTAACTTCCGTCTTTAACAGTACGCACACCTCTGAAGTTTTGGTAGTAAACCTGTAGAAGAGGAGAAGAACGAGAAGAGGGGAAAACACAATAAGCATTGGGAGGGGTCACTTCTCCTTGCTGTCTCCTATCTGCATAGTCAGCGTGGCTGTTCGACGACGGGGAGGGATCTGAATTATAGTGGAGACACCACAACGGAACACCATTGAAATATTCATTTCTCCCTGTACTCGCCGAGCTTCCAGCTGTGCCCTTACAGCCTTTATCTCCTCCCTCTGCATCACGGTCTTGTCTTGTGTCATCCACAGATTTGATAAAGTCTTTGAATGTACTTTGTCCTGCTTGGCAGCGGCAAATGTTTTCAGGATTGCTCGTGCCCTCACCTCCGTCACACACACCAATTTCACTGGGCGCGGTCTTCGAGAAACCTGCGTAAGAGAGCCAATTCTAAACGCCTTTACATTATGTAGGTCCGTGGCGGGAGTAAATGGTTTTAACATATTAACAACCAGATCACTAACATCGTTAGTAACCGAAATAGAACCAGAAGCAGCTGTAGTGGAGGATGTTTCTGGTAAATTAAATAAAACTAAATTTTTTTCTTCTCCTCTCTATCAGCCATTTCATTTATGCAATGACTGGTTGAGGTTGTCAAATCAAAATCAGTATTCACACCAACCACAGGAGCATCAAGTTTCTCCTCCACAACAGCAATACGCTCTGACAAATTAGCAATCCTACCTTCTACTTTTGACAGCGTAGTCAACGCTATATCAATTCTGCCACTCATCTCAGCAAAGTTCGACGACATAGTATTATAGTTGTTATTCAGTGATCTATAATTGCTATTGAGTGATGCATGATTATTATTAACAACAATAGTCAGATCACGAATAGCTCTTAAAATGCCTTCAGAATTAGATGTTGATTGTGATGATTCTGCTGAAGGGGACAATGACCTTTGTCCACAACACTTTGAAAAGGCACCATTAGATAACACAGATAACTGTGCTGTACAACCAGGATGGTAAGGCAGATTACATCCTTTACACAAAATTGGAGGAACACGTGTGATGTCCATATTACATTTTGCACATTTATCAACACAATCACTCATAGTGCATATAAATTGAAGAAGAAAAAAAAATAAAGTAAAACAATCAAATATCAATATAAGCACTATACGCGATGATAAAAGAAACAGAAATTGTTCAAGAAATGTTTCAACCAATTGAGGTTAGAAAACTAAATACTGAATTAGCAGATCAAAAAACGCCTATATCAAAGTCAAAAAACAGTTCAATAACAAAACAAGATAAACACTACAATTCGTCAAACTCCGCAGAACTCCATCAATAATTAATAATAATGAAAAACAACAAAAAATTGGTTAGACACGCACGATCGAATGTATCTATTTCGCCACCTAGCGGCGATAATATTAAATAATTAATTAATTAATTATTATTAATTAATAATGATTAAAATAATAGTTTTTCAAACTGTTATAAAAAATAAATATCTCTTGAAATTACACTAAAAATAACCATTTCTTAAAATTTTATTTTTCAAAATTTTGTCAAAGTAAGATTCTTTTAAAATTTATTAAAAATAACTATTTCTTAAAAATTTTATTTAAAAATTTTTTTTTTTGTAAACAGTAATAAGTAGAAAATTATTTAAGTTTTTTTTTTTTTTTTTTTTTTTTTTTAAATATCTCATTTAATCAAATATGTTAATTAGACATTAATTTAAACAATAAATTTAAGTCAGTTAAATTTGTAATAAAAAAAAATAACTTAACTATTAGTATTTTGCATCTCTGATCACTGTTTGACGTTTGATAAACAATAACTTAACCTATTTTCTAATTTATTTGTTTTTCTATTTTCAACCATCGAGAACTGGTGCATTAGCAAAAAATCTGAATTCACCAATTCTCGAGTCATTACCTCGAAAAATGGAGAAAACCTAAAATATGGAACCAGATACCGATGATTTGTTTTTAAAAAAAATATAAAATAATTATTTTAACATATATTTTTACATGCAAACTCAATATAGTTTTTTTACAATAATATAAACATATGAGGCGTTTCATATGAGAACGACATATGATGTCTCAGATTTTCCTTAACTTTTGGGTTTTGAGAGACATTTTGGTGTTAAATAAGTATGTAAATTTTGAATGAAAATTTTTTAATATTTTTAGAGATATTTGCATTAAAAAATTGTTGTAACATTTTTTTCTTTTTCTTATAACTTTTGTTCTTTTGATCCTACAAAAAAAAGTTCTAAATGTTTTTTACTCTAAAAATGTTAAAATTTATGAAAAAAATTATTGCAATAAAAAATTATTAAATTTCCATTAATTTATTTAAAAAATAAAATTTAATTTTACGTTTTAAACATGTTCTCCCTGTTTCTCAACCCTGAAAAAAATCATGAATGAAGTTGATAATGTAATAAAGACTTCCTGAAATTTTAAGCTTGACGTTATTTTTTGTTTTCGAGATAAAAATCTTTAAACATTGAAATGTAGGGGTTGAGCGCGCAAAATAATCATTGTACAGGGGCCCATCAAGAACTCGCACCGCATGTGATCTTCGCGCCGGCGCGCTAAATGATGGGCCCCTCTTACAATGATCGTTTTGCGCGTTTAATTCATGCATTTCAATGTTTAAAGATTTTTATCTCGAAAACAAAAAATAACGCCAAGCTTAAAATTTCAGGAAGTCTTTATTACATTATCAACTTCATTCATGATTTTTTTCAGGGTTGAGAAACAGGGAGAACATGTTTAAAACGTAAAATTAAATTTTATTTTTTAAATAAATTAATTGAAATCCCATGGGTTAATTCTTTATTTTCAGCCTGGCTTTTGGGAACCGACTGTTATCCGGAAGAGCCTTGGGGACTGCCCCTTCTGGAGGATATGTGGAGGGTGGACAGGCGCCACACAATAATGTAATATATATACATATTAAAATTTTTTTTTTTTTTAATGGGATAAAAAAAAACAACCTTGTCTCCCCTTTTAGCCCTTTATCTGCCATGCCGCCAGTGCCACCAGAGGTTGGATACCAACCCCTTTCTAAGGTTTTCCAATTGACATTCCTGCAATGCCATTATTGGACGCGGGGGCGGCAATCTAGGACCCGAGCAAGATGGCAAGTGGTGAGTTTACACTTGTGCTAAGCAAAAAAAAGAAAAAAATACCAAAGTAAGGTAAAGAAAAGATAAGGCTAAGGGTAAAGCCATTCCCCCTTTTTTTTGCAGAAGATCAACGTTCCTGTGAGTCGGGTTTGGGAGACGATCGGTCCAGAAGGGTTCCTTTTGGATCCGGTCGTCTCATTGGCTGTCGCTCCTGTCTAGGACGAAGGACCTCCCCTCTCCTTTCGCGCGCTTCAGTGACACACATGTATATATATAAAATTCTTGTTCTTTTTTTTGTAAAATCTTTCTCCCCCCCTTTTTTTTATATATATAAATTTATTTAAAGAGAGAAAAATTGAGTTTATTCCCCCCCACCTCTTTAATTCCAGGGCCACCAACAGCACAAGTTTCCTCCCCTAGCGGAAATAGTTCTAATTTTTTAGTAACAACATTAAGATAACTTAATTAAAATTTTCTGTAAAATTTTTTTTTTCTTTTTTTTTATGCACAGTATTTTGTTAAAACTTAGAGGGGAGGAAGCTTCCAACGATTGGTATTTGGATGCAAGGTAAGTGTAAAATGTTCTATCCTCTCGCTTTCAGGAAAAAAAATTTCGAAGGTAATAATTATATTAATATCGGGTGAAATTCGCCCATCGCTGTTCAAATCTTTACATAGTTTTCCCACGAGCGCACTTCTTTCTCAGTAAGGCACTGACCCAAAACTCCCACAACTCATTAGACAGGTGACAATGGCTTATTACAGCACATTCGCACCCAGTCCTTTGACAAAGTGGTAGGAAAGGATGTCTGGCAAAATTTCGAGGGCGGCCCAAGTGGCAGTTCGGCAGTCAGACCACGTAAGCCTCCCTCTACGAGAGTTCTCTGTTCCCTTACATGAGAATGTGCTAGGACCTGTCCCGACGGTGCTGAAACTGATTTTAGAAATCGCCCGTGGGCCCCCATGCAAAGATAAAATAAATCAAAGCGAACAACAAACAAATAAAAAAACAAAAATTAAAAGAAACTTTAGTTCGCTGTATATGTATGAAATACACACACATACATACATACACATACCTACACATATATATACACACACACACACATATATATATATATATATATATATACATATATATACACATACATATGTGACCTGGACAGTTAAAAGGGACCTTTTGTCCGAAAAAATCGATTTTTTATTGATTGGTGTTTCTGATAAAGAAAACTTTTTTCTATCAAAATCACCAATCAATAAAAAATTAATTTTTTCGGACAAAAGGCCACTTTTAACTGTCCAGGTCACATATATACATCTACATACACATGCATACACACATAACCATAAATTCTGAACTAGATTGGTTGGAGTGTTTGTACGGGTAATATAATTACCCTTTTTATACAGTTTTTAGTCGGTGAACTGGCACTGGTTGATGCTGTTGATTTCGTTGTCAAAATTCCGGAACCTTCGGAGTTTAATTGTCAAGATTGGGTTACAGGTACGAGATTCTTAGGTGCCTCTGCGGTCGATGTTTGGAGTTCCATACTTTGTTCTAGATTCGCAGATGTTGATGGGATTTTTCCAGATCTCTGCATATCTAGGTACTCGTCTTGGTTCCTCAACTTATACCCTGTCTTCGGAACGGGGTCACCCTTGTTCCTTTTTAAATTACTTTTGCCAGTGATAGTCCTGATTTTTCTACTGATTGAGTGTCGACATAGAAGGATGAGACTGATGATGCCGAAAATTATCAATCCACTATAGGACCCATAAATAAGGATAGAGTGATGGTTTCTCCATTTTCGCTGCATCGCAAAATTCTCCAATTCTTGTTCCAGAGTTTTGGAGTTGGTATCGAAATTAGGGGTCTTCAATTTTGTTCGGATATTCTCTTGAATTTCCATCGTAGTTGTCAAATGGGAATAGGTAGAAAATACACTTGAAATCCGTTTTAAATCCAGGTGTAACTCGGGTTCATATAAGATCTCCGTTTGGCCTACCTGAGTTGCTGTTGCTGGGATAGTTGTATCTTTTGTTTTTGCTGAACATCCTGGGGCCAACCTTATTATCCCAGTACCAGTGATATTTATCTTAATTGGATAAGCGGAGTGGCAGTTTATTAGTAATACTTCCGGCTTGGCCAAGGAATAAAGCCAGGCTGCTAAGGTCCGCAAAGGTTTCCAAAAAGATTCCAAACTTGAGGTAATTCTGATATCACAGGATCTCAGTAATTCGTCTGTGGGATTGGTCATCAGCGATACCTCACAGATCGGTCTATTCTGAAGGTCATAAATGGATGATCCTTTCAGACATGCATGGAACGATGTCGTTGTTCTACAATTTTCCCAATCTTCATTTTTGAGCAGGAGATAGGTTCTTTGCTCTTTGTCAACGATTAAGTAGTCGTATGCAGGATTCACGTACGCCCTGGCGGATCCGTTTCCAAGTTCACCTTGCAGGGTCCGCAGTGGATGTAGTTTAAATGCTGCATATTTATCTTGTTCCAGGAGAGGAATATCTATCAAAATTTTGATTTTGTGGTCCTCGCATAGAATACTGGTTGTGGCTACTTGAATTAATTCGTCAACGCTAACCTTGGGTCCAGGTAAGGGGAAAATAACATCAGTGGCGTTATTTCTAATGTCGTTGAGGATAGGTCCCAATTGTTTTGAAGATAAAATTCCAAGGAGAAGTTGTCCTCTTCTAGCATCGTGAACTGCGCCTAGCATTGTTGTCGTCGTTCGGATGTTGTGATCAAGTCCCAATTTTATGGCAGCCAGTGTTTTATCCAGGAGTTTGGAGTATTCCTGGAATTCAGAATGTTTAAATTGTCCATTTAGTCCCTTATTCAGGGTGTCGAAAGATTGGTGTAGTTCCTGCAAGACTTCGTCGTGATGTTGCACCTAACTATGCAGACTTTCTAATTGAGACCTAACCACATGTGTCTGCTTTCCAACAAGATGTGATAAGTTTCCTTGTGCTTCATTCAACTCTTGCATGACTGCTTCGTAATGTTTACCATCTTCGTAGTTTAGTACACCAGCTATGGGTCCAGCAATCTTTCCAAGGAATCCAAAAAGGGGAACACTGCGCCGAGGTCGAAATTGTGATGATACTAATATAGGAAGATTCTGGCGTGTTCTTCCTAGTTCTTCTATTTGCCGCTGAAGTTCTCGTTGAAGATCTGCAGCTATCTCCCATTGGTCTTCCCAGGGAAATGATTCGATTCGGACTCCGCACCATTCTTCGTTTGGAAAGCATTGCTGCTTCACGTTGTTCAGTTTGTAATTCAAATCCTCGAAATGCCTCACTTGTTTGCCGATGTCCAGGAAGATGCTGATCCTCCAATTACTGACTGACCTTCTTACTTCTCCCGAATATTCGTAATATATCCCACTACTTATGTCGAGTGGGGTGATCTGGTATCCGGGGCCGTCAATTGGTCCTATTGGAACTGTATTGATCTGCGCCTTCACGATAATTGAGTCAGAAAGGTGCAAAACGATTCAGCAATGTGCCAAGTACATCTTTGTTTTTTCTACAAAAAAAATATTGAATGTATGTTAACAGCAAATTTTTTTGTGAAGGTGACAGTTATAGATAGGTAACCATCACCTTGTCTTTGTGTTTGGCGAATCTTACGCCATTGTCATCTTCTAAAATGACATTATTGTTTTGGGTCAACCCTACAACAGTGTACGGACCATTAGCTCGATTGTCGAACTTGTTCGTCCTAACCTCTTTATAGGTATAGACTTGGTCGCCAACCTTGACCTTCGATGGTCTTGACTTTAGGTCATAAAATTCTTTGGAGCGTTGCTTTGCTCCTTTAAGCTTGTCGGCTGCCAGATTCTGAAGTTCGTGCAATCGGACCACGAGGTCCTTTAGGTATGAACCATAGGTTTCTAATTCTGGTCCAAGCGGTAGGGAGGAAGGGATCCGGGCTACTCGTCCAAAAACTAACTCGAATGGGGTTAGGTTAGTAGCTTCATGAACTGACGTGTTATAATTGAGCATTGCAAAAGGAAGTAGACGATCCCAATCGTCGAAATCTTGAGCGTAGTGCTTAATATAATCCGTCAATTCAATATGGCTTCTTTCTAACGCTCCGTTAGTTTGAGGGCGGTATCCGGAAGTCGTAAGTTGTTTTACCCCAAAGATGCTTTCAAGTTTCCGCATTAGGGAGCTTATAAAGCTACCTCCTCTATCTGTGAGGACGCATCGAGGCGCTCCATATACAGAAAAGAGGTTTGCTGCTATGGCATGGGCAATGGTGGTTGTTTTTATGTCTGGAATGGGGACCGCAATGTAATATTTGCTGAAATTGTCCTGCATTGTTTGTATGTGTGTATTGCCGTTAGGAGTAGTTCGAAGTTTTCCCACGGTATCTAGGGACACTTTGTCAAAGGGTTGCGCAGGGGTATCTGTTATTAGCATAGGTTCACGAGTTCGAGCCCTGGCGATTTTATTCTCAAAGCAACTCTTGCATTTGCGAATATACTCTGTAACTTCGTCTCGCATTCTAGGCCAATAATACCTCTCACGTATTCTTCTATAGGTCTTAGTTATGCCTTTATGCCCTCCAATCAGACTGCCATGGAATTCTGATATTATCTTGGGGCGTAATTGTAAGGGTGGTACCTCGATTTTTCCGTGGCATAGTGTGATATTTATATCGCCAGCGCGGAATATTCCTGCTAAAAGCTCCGTCATTTTATTCGGCAATGTTTCTGATTGTCTAAGGTCTAAGGTCGCTTTTTCACAATAATTGAGTATACCTTATAACGTCCACAGATAGTGACGTACACCTGTCCTTTAATTGGTTTACTGTCTCTGATGTCCTGTAAATCGATCTTTTCGGTTGCCACTAAAAGTTCCACAATGGGGTCAATGGGTTCACAGTCTTCAGAAATAAAGTGGGCGTAATTATCTCTTCTGTAAGTTAAAGGTTCTGTCCATTGATGTAAAATGTTTGGTGGGTTTAAATGGGCACAATTGTTGGGGTTATCTTCTTCATTACCTGAGGAATCAGGGGAGGAGGAAGAATCACAATAGGGAAGGTTTAGTTCCATTATTAGGTTCCTTTTTGTCTTACTTCCGAACTCACTTATAGGGGTTAATCTACGGGGCGTGATTTGTGTTTTTTTCGCATCTTTTCCTCTTGTTTTCCTTTATTGTAATCTGAAAACCTCAAAAATGGGGTGGAGTGTGCTTCGGGGATTGTTGCCCGGCCAGGAGTGAATGATGTCAAACTTGCGG